GCTCCGCCGGCTGTAGGGCAGCCACCCCGAGCTCGGACCGGGCGTGCTGGCTCCCGCTGTGACAGCCCAGCGGGCGAACGCCGGGGCAGGTGCGGAAACACACGTGGGTTTATGTACAAAGGTTGCCTTTCCTGCCGCGGTCGCGGTGGGCTTCCTGGGGTGCGCAGCGGCTGACGGAGGGAGCTGCGGGCCGGAACCCGAGTCCTGCCTCAGGCGGGGGGTGATGCGGGGGCGCGGGGGTGCCGGCGGACTACACGCGCTTTCTCGGGGAACGAGGAGGCGTGACCCGGCATCCTTCGCGTCCCGAGGCGAGAGGTGGGCGGGGAGGGGGCCCGAGGAGCGACCCCACCTCCGGCTTGAGACCAGGGCCACCTGGCAGACTCCCTCCCCCCACCCCCGATTTGATTCGCCCCGAGCTCCGGTGGTCTGTGGGGTTTGGCAGCCTCAGTTCTTTCCGTGTTTCCTCAGGGGTGTTTTTTCTGCAGGGCGAGGCGAGCAGGGGACCCGGGGTCCCTGAATTCAGTCATTTTGCTCATCTTCGGAGGGTAAGCTCCTGACCCCTCAGGCGTGCGTGCGGCGGCGTGTGGAGCGTGTGTGGCTGCGGGGCGGGCCGAGCGGTCGCGACACGCTCGCGGTGGCTTCAGCTCGGCCCCTCCGAGTGCTCTAGTTTGCAGGACGGTCGTGGGAGAGAGTTTGGACTTTCCACGGAGAAGTAAATGTCCAAGAGGCAAGTAGCTGTAAGCCTTGCCGCTGAGTTGGAAGAATCTGTACTGGTTTTGCCTTTGGCACCTGTGCCCAGAAATGTTCTCCAAAACAGGAGGTGGAATAAATTAGGATTATTTTCTTTCAGAAAAAAATGTTGCAAAATGCTTTCCTGAATCATTTGTACTCATTGTTAGGCGCCGCAGCCTACCCCTCGCTGCGGCGNCCCTCGCTGCGGCGGGCGCCCCGGGTTTGGGAGGCCTCCCGCCCCCCCTCCCGGAGCCCTGGGGAGGAGGGAAACAGCCCGCCGGGGATTGTAACCCACTGCCCAGTTCAAGTTCTGTGCAACTCTCCCTTGCATCTCAAAAGGTGTTTTGAATCCGAATATATATTGAAGGCTTCCGTTTTTCATGTGAGTCATTTAAAAGCAAACATACCTATTCTAAAGTTAAAGGATTGAAAAAATAAATCTCTCTTAATATCGCAGAGAGACTTTTGAGAAAGTATTAGAAAATGGCTAAATCACTGATAAAAAGTGAGAATACCAAAATGCTAGCAATCACTGCTTTAGGAAAGATTTGACACAGATACTTATCTTTTGTCTAATTGAAACCTTGATGATACTATCCTTTGACTCACATTTTCAAAAAAAAGATTGTAGATTTTTAGACTTAGAAGGGAACTTAGAGGTGATGTGGGCTGCAAAGAACATAAATATTTTTTTGCAACATTCCTAAAAAATTGAGTTTTGTTCTCTGCTTGGGTTTATGTAGTGGGAGGAGGTATATTAGAAAGCTATGTGTTGTAAAGCTGCCTTTTGGAACAAATCTTCAGCTTTCCTGTCCAGGCCACATCTCCCTTGTCATGGTGCTGATAACTGGGATTTCAGACCCCATAGCAGAGACTATCCGCCTGTGGTGACAGCAATCTGATTGTGCAGTGTGCCACTTTGGAAAGTAACTTAAACAAAGGACATTTCCGAATTTCTTCCTGTGGTGGAAGCTATCTCAGGTTTCAGTGTGCCACTTTAGACAGGAACATTAGCTGATTACTTCCTGTTCACTTTCATCTTGCTGCTTCCAACAGATTTGTCTAGACTTTTAGATAGTTCTGAATCTTTATTACCTGTAGTATTGCAGCATTTCTAGTGTTGTGATGATTGAAAACTTGAGACTTAAAAGTTCTTTCCGTGTGTTTGTTTAACCAACCTGGAAAAACCTGGAGACGGTGCAGAAGATGGTTGCTTCCATTGCTGCCACCAGTTTGGCTTTGGAGGTTTCATCTTTCTTCTAAAGTCTTTGACTATCTTTCCCTCAAGAATACCATGGGAAATTTCTTAATTTTAGAGCATCATACTCACATGGTCACCGGATTCACCAAATTAGTAAACATATCAAAAAAAGGAAATTGGGTTAGGGTAGTTAGTGAAGCTTCTAAGTGGACTTGGAATCATCATTACGCTCTTTCCCAAATGCTCATAAACCCGTTTTGTACTCTAGAATTGTGCTAAAGATCACTGTCAAGCTTGCTCATCTCTCCCTTTTTGGAAGTATGGCTTATCACTTGATGGGATCCTGTGTTCTGGTTTTGTCTTCTACCAGCCCTCACAATTCCAGATAGTGATTCTGAAACAGCGGTCAAGTTCCTTCAGCAACCAGGTAAGAATTCGTCTAATCCTGAAGACTCCAGTGAACTGATTTGAAATAGGTACTTGCATACCATCTTCTAATGGGTCTTAGATAGTGATTTCCTATTTATATAACATTACCAGATTACTTTATTATTTTCTAGCATAAAGAATGGCCTGAAAACACAAAAGTAGCTGGATTGGTAACTCAATAGAAAAGTTTCTGCAGTAAATAAAATTGTGCGTCATCTGATTAGGGGAGCACAAGTCACTCGACTTGTCTTTCTCTTACTTGTGGTGTTCCTCTAAATGTGTGCCTGATAGCTCCTTTCCACCTACTTCTGGAGTGGAATGAAAAGGAGAGAGAGGCTGCCTTGCTATGGTCTATAAAATAGTGGTTTGGGTAATAGTAGAACAGATGGTAGTGGGGGGAATCAAATTGTGGCTTCTGGTCTCTAATACATTCTCCCCAACTGTCCTCCAAAACTCTGTTTTAGAAATAAGATTCAGAGAGAGATTGAGAGCTGGCAGGTGGTAGGCAGTAGAGATTTAAGAGGTTTTAGTTGCTTATTAGGTTGCTTCCTGCACCTCCTCTGTATAGTTTAATCTGGCTCACAAAAGTAGTAGAATGCATTTATTCTTTACGACATTTACTCGTGATGCCAAGACAGTGAGTTTTGGTCATGGTGTAGACCAGTTATTATTTTCTTCCATGTCCATAAACTGCTCCTAACTCGTAACAAGTCGCTGTGCCTAAAATTGGCCAAACCTCAAAGAGACCTATGAATGAATCAAGTAAGAATGAATCAGTTATATCTGTCAATATGTAAGTCACAAATTTAAAAACCACATAAGCATATGTTCTGTTAATAGCAGACTAATGAAACTACTTTTATAGAGGAATGACAAGTAATAAAAGTTATGTCTGCTTATTTAATTATTACAACTTTAGTGGTATTATGTGCTTCCAAAAACTGGAACGGAATGATTTACAGAGCCTAATAACAAATAAATGGAATCAGGGACTACCTTAAATTTTTTGTAGTATTGCTCCATACGTGTTCATTAAAATGTGAATTTTCAGAGCCATTTGACTATTTGATCTACTACTGCCTTCTATTTTAGTAGAGCTTCAAGTGTAATTCCTGGCAACTGTTGTAATAGTTCCACTAAGTAGGCTAGCTTTTTGTTTGTTTGTTTGTTTTTTAATGAACAGGTTTCCTTCTGTGTAGGAAAAAATTAGTTTGGTAATCAATAATTTCCCATCAAAAACTTGCAACATATACAATGATATATAAATATCCTAAGCATCAAAATTATTGGATTTTTATTTATACATTCTGATGAATATGTTTTTATGGTATTTTACCAGCCTAGGAAGTGAAATCAAATGGATGTTGGTGAGTACCCCATGGCAGCAGTTACTTCATTTCATTCATTCAGAGTGAACTGTAACCTGCAAGCCTTCTTTAGGTAAGAAAGTTGGTAGTTTGAAAAATAAATGATTAATTTCTAAAAATGATCATACATGTTTAGGCTGGAGTTTTTATATCATTTTCAAGCAAAAAAAGATCAATTTGTCTTGCACTCTAAAATGTAGTTTGCTGATGCTCATTGCTATAAAATTATTTTACATGAAATTTATGATTTATGGGTGCTCTGAAAACTAACGTAGACAAGACAAAAGAAAATTAAAATATTACTTTTAATAGAATTATTGCTACATAATATCCTTTAGTTATGGTGATTCTATCATTGAGTTGGCAATTTAATGATTTTACTAAATAAACAATTTTAACAATTGTTATTACACACAGTCAGATTTAATATATAGCACAATTGCTTTGTTTAGAATTGCAAGGCAATTTTTTTAATCTGACATTTGGAAGAAGTCTTTGTTTTGTTTTTGGCTTCATTGCTTTTCTAGTGAGGGATAATATTCAGGATAACTTTTTTGTAATACCTTAGTGAGATTTCTATCCATTCTATAGGCTATCAAATAAAACAATTACAAGCAAAATGTCAATAAATGTGCTCCACATCAGGATTTAGAGTCCAGTGTCCATTCCTTTACCTTCCCTAGGCCATCATATTTCATTTTAGGGAATTAGCATTAAAGAACAGATTGTGCCCTTTCAAAATAGCATATGTTTTGAATTATTGATGTCAGCAATTTCATATATTTTACGTTGTATTGCTGGACCAGTTCTCCATCATGCGTGTAATTTTAGTCAGATTAAAATGTATGTGGTAGCTCTTTTGCTTGATGCTTGAGACACAGCTTTGCAACTATTTTTGCTTTCCATTTCAGTTTTCCAAACCCGAAAGATGACCTTTCATTTTGTTCAGTGACTAGGTCAGTCCTGCTTCTGGGATCCAACTCTATGTTGTGATTAAGAAATGTTTCACATCAGACAGAGTGACTCACAAGACAGAGATATTTACATATTAAATAACTATTTCATTAGATTTAAAGGTATGTTTTAATTATGACACTGAATCTTCCACATATACATTTCTAGCACTCAGGGGTGAAAAGAGGATTGAACAGTCAACCAAAGTTAAAGTTCAGAACTACTCTTACTGTTATTTTGCCTCTCAAATAATTGTATACTTAAAATACTTTGGATTCTTATGTAAAACATGTACAAGATAACCCAGTATACTTGGGTATATCTGGACCTGAAATTTGTTGGAACTTAGTTGTATTTCAAGCTGACTAATACCTGGAGATTTATCATTTGTTTCTCTTGGGGAAGAATGCTCTTTCCTTTGCTATTTTACATTGGCAGGTAATGGTCAGGTGTGTTGCTTACCCAGGCTTTGTCCCTGCCATTGTCCGATTTCTCTAGAGCTCCTGTGTCTTGGGATTATCTGAAAATTGTAACAGATCATTTGACTTTTTGTTAGAATTGTGCTTCAGCTTAATGAAATTTGTTCAGAAAAATGCATTGGACAATTTAAAATAACAACAACAACCGAAACATTTATTGAGCATTTACTATGTGCTGGCATTTAGTGTACTTTAATTCTCACAACAACCTTACAAGATGGTACTGCTGTTCTCTCTGCTTTTCAGATGAGGAGACTGAGGCTTAAATTAATTTGTTCAGACAAGATCACATGGTTAGTAAATGGCAGAGCTGGGACTCATTGAGACCTATGCTTTTAATTGTGTTTTACTGTCCCTCATATCCCTCAGGAGTTTTTAGCACAATTGCGACGTGATGCTTCCTTCTGTGTAGGAGATAGTAAGAACACAGTAATTGACCAGGAATGAACCTGCAACATACACAGCTTTCTTGGACCTTTCCTCTTTGAAGCCTTGCCAACTACCACCTCCCACATACAAACTCGATTATGTAGCATTGCTCTATTTTCCCATTGCAACTTGTTCCCGCTTCATTGATGGCATTTATCACTACATTTCACCATCTGGCCACAGCTCTTTGAGAACAGGTTCCCTCTTACTTATCTCTGTACCCGCAGCACATAGCAGTACGTATCAATGCATGAAAATGGAAGATTACTTTCTAAATTGTTTTAAACTGTTTTTCACTGTCTCATGTTATTCCAAACAAGTAGAGCACAAATATATAATGGAAATGCGGGAAAATGATCACTTAACTTTTTTAATGTTTACAGAATGAAGAGGAACAATTTATCTATTGTGAATAAAATTGTACAGTCTCCACCAGCAATGAAACAGCCCAAGCTCGGATTGTATTCTCCTCTCAACCAGACTCTGGCGTACACTGTTCTTCTAGACTGGGGGAGTTTGCCTCCTCATGTGGTATTACGCATTTTTCAGTATCTTCCTTTAATAGATCGGGCCCGGGCGTCTTCTGTATGTAGGAGATGGAATGAAGTTTTTCATATCCCTGACCTTTGGAGAAGGTTTGAATTTGAACTGAACCAGCCAGCTACTTCATATTTTAAGTCTACTCATCCTGATCTCATTCAGCAGATTATTAAAAGGCATGCTACCCATCTCCAGTATGTTAGCTTTAAGGTAAGAAAAATATGCATTAAATAGAAACCATGATTTATATTTTAACAATATTTTTAAAAATATATATCTTTATTGATTTCAGAGAGAGGAAAGGAGAGGGATAGAGAGATAGAAACATCAATGATGAGAGAGTCATTGATTGGCTGCCTCCTGCACGCCCCTGACTGGGGATCGAGCCCACAACCCAGGCATGTGCCCTGACCGGGAATTGAACCCCGATCGCCTGGATCCTAGGTTGATGCTCCACCGCTGAGCCACGCCCGGCTGGACTTTAACAATATTTTTAATTGTTGAAGCAGTCAGGGAATTTTGCAGAAGTTTTATTTCAAACTATTTCCGGTTTTTCTCTAGTTATTTGCATAGATTGAGATGTAGAACTTCAGCTATAATTGAATAACTTAAACTTCAGTTTCCTTCACCTGGGTGCTATTATTAAAAGGTAGGTAATTTTAAAAGAATTGGAAGTATGAATGGCTTAGAAAGTTAATTTTTCATCATCTCTATTTCTAACATTTTTATCTGAGATATTTTGTATAAAGAAAAAATACTAATTTATTTTATAGCTCAAAGGGTAAATACAGTTTTGCAAATGAATTCTATTAAGTATTTGCAAGTAACTTTCTAATAAGTTACCTTCCTGAGATTAAGATTTAAAATTGTCTTTTTAGGTTGACAGTAGTACTGAATCAGCAGAAGCTGCCTGTGATATACTTTCTCAGCTGGTAAATTGTTCTATCCAGACCTTGGGCTTGATTTCAACAGCCAAGCCAAGCTTTATGAGTATGTCAAAGGTAAAGATGCTGTGCTTTTTTGTGGGATACACTTAAATTCTTGTCAAACTAGCAGAAAAACAGACAATATTCTACTTGTATTCAAAGGATTATTTAAAGAAGTTTTCTGTTAACTAGCACTTATTTTTGCTGAAATAGCTTATGCATGGTTTGATTCTTTAGATATATTTTAATAATTGTTTCCCCAGTAAATATCATCAATATAAAATTTAGATGTACAATTTTCAAGTGCTAGTCTACTTAGTTACTTTGAATATAGGGCATATAGGGCCAGTAAATTGATGTCTTTCCTGTAATTCTAGAGTCTCTCCTTTGGAGGTGGAACAGTATAATATCTAACTAAATAACCTGGATTGTTAGGATGATGTTTGAGTCACAACCGTGGCTTAAAACACATGATTGAAGTCTATTTCTCCTACGTTAAAGAAATCATTAGATCAGACTGTCCGTAGCTGGTGTGAAGTTGTCTGGAACCCAGATTTCCTCCAGGTACTCCATTCTCTCCAAGACGCTTTCTTCATTTTCATTGTTGGAGATGGCTTTCTGAGCTCCAGCCGTCACGTCCTTATTCTGGACAGCTGGATGGAGGCAATGGGGGAAGAAGGGTATGCCCTCTCCTTTTCAAGGAGACTAGCCAGAAGACTCGCATAATGCTTCTGTTTGTCTCCTTGGCCAGAATTTAGCCCTATGGCCACAGCACATTTCTGGGAGGCTAGGAGAGTGTTTTAGCTGGGTGGCAATGTGCTCAGCTAAATATTGGGACTAGATTACCAAAGAAGAAAAGATAAATGGTTGTTCAGAAGCAACCAGCAGTCTCTGCCACAGAAACTAATAACTGTCTTATTATTCAGGCTTCAGCTTGAGTGCCATCTCCTCAGAGAGGCCTTCCTCGACCACTTTTGCTAAAACACACCCACTCTTCCAGTTACTATTACAATATTTTAGTGTCTCTATATCATTCATCAGTACTTGAAAATACCTTATTTATTTAACATGTTTATGCTCTTCCCCTCAGAACCAAATCATAAACTCCTTGACGCCAGAGATTCTAATTTGTTTGTTTACCATTATAAACTCAGAATTAGAGTAGTGCCTGATACATAATGAGCACTAAATTATGACTGTCAGGAAAGCGGGCTAATGGGAACTTTCCTATAGAAGAAGACAGAGGAATAGTAACATATTCTCTCTCATAAACTGGGTCATGGCTCTCTTTTAGCTAGCATTTCTGCTAGCTTGTTTATCCTTTTAAGAGATGTACTAAAAAAAATGGGTCATTTGGGGATTAGAGTAATATAATTAATCAGATGAAAACTTACTCCTTCTAAATAGTTATTTCCTTGTTTATAAACTGTGGAATCAGATTAGCCTAAATTTCTTAGATTCTAAGCTATCTCTCATGTTGCACAGCTTTGAGAGCCAGCTACTAGGTTAGCTGATGCAAACACCGGGATGAGGCAGCGGGGATTAGAGGCTTCATTTCAAGCTCTGCCTCCACAGTCAGATGAGCGCTGTGGCTTCTGGGGAAATTGTGGATCTCTCTAAGCCTCAGTTCCTTCACTTATAAACTAAGGGAAAATATGATAAAAGTACAGCATTTTGCTAGGCATAAGAAAGTGCTAAAATAATATATAGTTACTACAATAAAATTTACACAGGTTTCCCCTGCTATCCAAAAGCAGAGCTTTCCTATAAAATCTTTCTTAAGCCCAAATGGCGTAAAGTGAAGAAGCCATTATCTTAGGACACACCTTACTAAGAGATGCACAGAACAAATTAAGATGAAGTGCAGATGCTCACAGACACAGGTCAAAGCTATGGCAGCTTGATGCCGAGATGCTGAGTGTGGGTCCTGGAGAAGGAGCTTGGCAGAGCCACTTTTGCTGCTCAAGGTGCACATTACCCCTATAATGGCTTGCTGCAAAACAAATGCTGAACATTAGTTATGCTTTTTGCCTTTTTTCACAAAAGTGAAATCCTCTTTGGATTTCTTTCAGTTCATGAAAACAGGTACTAATAATGTAGTACCTGTAAAAAAGTTAAGTGGTGTAAAGCAAACTTTCGAAAAACGGGGTATCTGTACTCGAATGCTTAACCATGTCCTTCAGGACTAAAAGAGTCCACTAAGAGTTGATTAAAGGGGGGGAAAAATCTTATATTTCTTAGAAAGAGCGCTGTATTTATATTTTTCTAACCATTTTTGACATCATAAAATTTAGTAAAGAGGAATAGTTATCCGCTATTTAAAAATTTGTGTAAATCAGTTAACAATTAGTATAAGCCAATAATTTTTCTCATAAATGACTTAAGATTTATAACCAATTTGGTCATTCTAATAGGGACAATACAACCTTTGGTAGAATTCAAGTTGATTTGAAAAAGGAAAAATGATCATGCATGGAGTTGGTTTCCAGACTTTCTCTCTGTGTCCAAAATTCCTAGATCTGAAAACTTGTGAAATTCCACCCATTTTGAGTTCAAACTATAAGTAAGCTTTAGTTTGTCAGTATTCAAAACAGAAAGTTTTCAAAACATATTTTTGTTTAACTTGCTAGCAAAAAGCATGTCCCCAAAGAATGACATCATTTATTGATATATTCATCAACAAATATTGACCTTCTACTGTGTGCCAGATACTAATTTAGGTGCTGTAAATATAGGAGAAAATAAACCAGATAAAAATTCTGTATCTTCTAGGACAAGGGTTGAACAGGTACAGATAGTAAATATTTTAGGCTTTGCGGCTCAAGCAGTTTTGCTGCAACTCTACTGTTGCAGTGCTATCAACTATCTAGCACAGTGTTAAAGCCGATGTAGATAATACACACTTGAAACAGCATGGCTGTGTTACAGTAACTAATTATGGACACTGAAAGAGTTTCATATAATCTTGACATGTCACAAAATATTCTTCCAGACACTTTTTGCAGTTCTTTAAATATGTAAAAACCATTCTTAACACGTGAGCTATACAATATCAGACTGTGGACTAGATTTGGCTGGCAGACCATAACTTGCCAACTTCTATTCTAGGAAATAAATATAATTATACTCTTTTAATATTGAAAAATAAATTCTTAAGTTTGAAAATAATTGAAACACATATTTATGAAATCTTTGAAACTTCTTCCTTTCTCACTGTTCCATTTATGAGTTGTAAAAGTATTTTAAAAACCTTTACTTTGTCTTCTACTGGCTAACAGTGTTATGAAAAACAGTAATATGTTGATTGCTTTTACTATGTTATTGTAAGCATATGTTGATATAATAGTTTTAATGAAATATTTGATTGAAGCTATAAATCCTTAAGTAATGTTTTCGTAATTTTTTTCTTATTGCCATGCAAGTCTCATTTTGTGTCAGCACTTACAGTTGTTTTTGTCAACTCAAAATCATTGTCATCAATCAAAATCGAAGACACACCAGTGGATGATCCCTCACTGAAGATTCTCGTGGCCAATAATAGTGATACTCTAAGACTCCTAAAAATGAGTAGCTGTCCTCATGTTTCATCTGATGGTAGGTTATATTTTTTTAAGCTTGCGTGATATTTTTTATATATATATTTTTATTTATTTCAGAGAGAGGAAGAGAGAGGGAGAGAGAACCATCAATGATGAGAGAGTCATTGATTGGCTGCCTCCTGCATGCCCCCTGCTGGGGATCAAGCCCACAACCCAGGCATGTGCCCTGACCGGGAATTAAACTGTGATCTCCTGGATCATAGGTCAATGCTCAACCGCGGAGCCACACCGTGTGGGCACATGATATTTTTTTATTATAGTAATTGTAACAGTGCAATTTCTTATTGAAAACTACATGCATCTGAAATATAATTTATTAATCTTTTTTCAAAAGAAGTCTTAATCTGTAAGCTAGAGATAGTTTAAATTACTTCTCCTAAGAGTATTTTAGTTATATATATGTATTATATATTAATTACTTATATCTTGGCTATATTAGTAAATAATGAATGACTAATATCAAATGTAAATTGACAAAATGTTATATTAGTATAATCTTTGCTCTTAAGAATTTTTTCCCATTTTCCGCAGGAATCCTCTGTATAGCTGATCATTGTCAAGGCCTTAGAGAACTGGCATTGAATTATTACATGCTAAGTGATGACCTTCTCCTGGCACTTTCAAGTGAGACTCATGTTAACCTTGAACATCTTCGAATTGATGTTGTGAGTGAAAATCCTGGACAAATTGAATTTTGTCCTATTAAAAAACAAAGTTGGGATGCACTTACTAAACACTCCCCTGGAGTTAATATTGTTATGTACTTCTTTTTGTATGAAGAGGAATTCGAGACATTCTTCAAAGAAGAAACCCCTGTTACTCACCTTTATTTTGCTCGTTCAGTAAGCAAAGCAATTCTAGGACGGATAGGCCTTAACTGTCCACGACTAATTGAGTTAGTAGTATGTGCCAATGGTCTTCAGACTCTTGATGATGAACTTATTTGCATTGCTAAACACTGTAAAAACTTAACAGCTTTGGGCCTCAGTGAATGTGAAGTTAACTGCAGTGCATTCATTGAGTTTGTAAGACTATGTGGGAGAAGGCTCACCCAGCTATCTATAATGGAGGAAGTTTTGATCCCTGATGACAATTATAGCCTAGATGAAATTCACAATGAAGTCTCCAAATACCTGGGGAGAATGTGGTTCCCTGATGTCATGCCTGTCTGGTAATTGACTACCAAAGATTCTTAACTTTTTTTAATCAATAAGATTAGCTTCTTTCAGCCTATACAAATGTAAATTTTAAGAGGCATTGCTGAAATATTTTAGGTAAAATATTTCATCATTTGCAAACTGTCTTAATAGGTTGTAGCAGAAACATTTGAAAAAAATATGAGAAATTTGAGAAGCCAGAAATTTTCGTAAATAGGGCACAGAGACTGTGTTGTGGTTAGATAGTTGATATGCTAAAAACCCTAAACAGTTTCTAGATAAGCTCCTTAGCTTTCTTTGAAGATATACTTTACCTTGCTAAATAAATTTATAATATTGAGGTTTGGATCCCTTAAATTATGCCATTTACAACTTTATATTGTTGTTTCTGTTTCATCTTAGTATTAATATATTTTACAAAATATTTACTATTAAAAACTAAGAGTAATATCAAAATATAGATACAGGCTGACTTAATTATACTTCATTTTTAGCACTATGTAAGATCAGATTATGATTTAATAAACAACTTTTAATTTCCAGTACACTTGGAATTCTACTTTATTACATTAACAGAAGAAAATTGATATTAGACTAAAATTAAATAATGTTAATTAGTTTTATGAAGATACTGTGATTGTTAATTGATTAAATACACTACTGAGATAAAAAAAAGTAAATTTTGCAGTGTCTGGGAGAGAACCAATATTTAATCACCTACTACTATGTATCTGAAACGATGCCAAATCCTTTGCATAGTGATCTTATAATTTAATCAGTAATACAGCAAAACTCCTTAATGGCTATGTTTTGACTTTAGGATGAAGATATATCTTTAAAATGACCCACAAGATCCTATAAGATCTGGCTTCTCCATCCTTTGCTCTCATTTTCTACCCACCAAGCCGCTCCTTGCCCTTTTGCTTCCATTCTCTTTCAGGTGCTTTAGACGGCCATGCACCCTGTAGTCAAAAGGCATTTATTTGTACATATTATTCTTCCTACTTTGATTACTCTCCTTGCTCCCGCAGACCTTTCCTTTAGATACCTTTTCCTCAGGGAAGCCTCCATGACTCTCAGTACTCTGTGGCTTCCCTTTGTGGCACTTATACTATTGTAATTTGCCATTTACTTGTATGATTATCTGCTATTTCCATTGCACGGTGAAAGATCACTGTTGGGTTTTCCTCACTGTTGTGTTCCAAGCATCTAGCATAATATTTAGCACCGTAATAGGCACTCAATAAATTTTCCTTAAGTGCTTTTTCTTTCAGACTTGTTCCCCCAGATCTTAAATTTTTTCTAAGAAATAAATTTAAAATAAAAAAGAAAATTAGAATTATGTTTATTATTTTTCAGTTTTGAATATTTTTTGATTAGGAAAACTTTTTCTATTGTTGACACTATTACAAATGTCCTCCATTCTCCCCCCATGTCCCTCTCCACCTAGCCCCCACGCTACCCCAGGCCTTCACCACGTTATTGTCTGTGTCTATGGGCTATGCATATATGCATATATGTTGTTTGGTTAATCTCTTCCAGTTCCCCCGGCCCTTCTCCCCTCTGAGATCTGTCAGTCTCTTCCATGTATCCATGCCTCTGGTCCCATTTTGTTCATCAGTTTGTTTTGTTTATTAGATTCCACATATAAGTGAGATCATGTGATATTTGTTGTTCTCAGATTGGCTTATTTCTCTTAGCATAATAACCTCAAGGTCCATCCATGCTGTCTCAAACAGTACAAGATTCTTCTGTTTTACAGCCTCATAATATTCCATTTTGTAAATGTACCACTGCCTTTTTACCCACTCATCTACTGATGGGCACTTGGGCTGTTTCCAGATCTTAGCTATTGTAAATAATGCTACTATGAACATAGGGGTGTATATATTCTTTCTGATTGGTGTTTCAGGATTCTTAGTATGTATTGCCAGAAGTGGGACCACTGGGTCAAAAAACAGTTCCATATTTAATTTTGGGGGGAAATTCTATAATGTTTTCCACAGTTGCTGTACCAGTCTGTATTCCCACCAGCAGTGTACTAAGGTCTCTTTTACTCCACACCCTCACCAGCACTTGTTTGTTGATTGATTGATTGATTGATTTTTTTTTTAATATATCTTTATTGATTTCAGAGAGAGGAAAGGAGAGGGAGAGAGAGACAGAAACATCAATGATGAGAGAGTCATTGATCGAGCCCACAACCCAGGCATGTGCCCTGACCGGGAATCGAACCCCGATTGCCTGGATCCTAGGTTGACGCTCAACCACTGAGCCACGCCTGGCTGGGCGATTGATTGATTTTTAAATATGTTTTTATTGATTTTAGAGAGAGAGGAAGGGAAAGGGACAGAGAGAAACATTGATGAGAGAGAAACATCAATCGGCTGCCTCCTGCACTCCCCCACTGGGGATTGAGCCCACAACCCAGGCATATGCCTTGACTGGGAATCGGAACCAGTGACCTCCTGGTTCATGGGTCAATGTTCAGTGTTCAACCAGCTCCGCTGTTTGTTGATTTTTGATAGTAACCATTCTGTCAGGTGTGAAGTGATACTTCATTGTAATTTACATCTCTGATTAGTGACATTGATGATTTTTTCATGTCTTTTGGCCACCTGTATGTCCTTTTTGGAGAAGTGTCTATTCAGATCCTTTGCCCATTTTTTAATTGGATTGTTTGCCTTCCTGGTATTGAGTTGTATGAGTTCTTTATATATTTTGGAAATTAACCCCTTATCAGATGTATCATTGGCAAATGTGTTCTCCCATGCAGTGGGTTCCCTTTTCATTTTGTTGATGTTTTCTTTTGCTATACAGAAGCTTTTTAGTTTGATGTAGTCCCATTTGTTTATTTTTTCTCTTTGCTTCCCTTGCCCTAGGAAATGTATTGGCAAAAGTACTGCTATGTGAAATGGCTGAGATTTTACTGCCTATGTTTTCTTCTAGGATTTTTATGGTTTCGTAACTTACATTTAAGTTTTTTTATCTGTTTTGAATTTATTCTTGTGTATGGCATAAGTTGGTGGTCTAGTTTCATTTTTTTGCATTTTGTCCAACACCATTTATTGAAGAGAATGTCTTTATTCCATTGTATGTTCTTGCCTCCTTTGTCAAATGTTAATTGACCATAATGGCATGGGATGATTTTTGGAGTCTCTGTTCTTTTCCACTAGTCTATATGCCTGTTCTTGTGCCAGTACCAGGCTGTTTTGATTACATTGGCTTTGTAGTATAGTTTGATTTCCAGTATTGTGATCACTCCAGTTTTGTTCTTCTTTCTCAAGATTGCTCAGGCTATTTGGGATATTTTCTGTTCCATATAAATTTTTGGAATGTTTGTTCTAGATCTTTGAAATGTGCCATTGATAATTTAATAAGGATTGTGTTGAATCTATAGAGTGCTTTGGGTAATATGGATACTTTAATGATTTAAATTTTTCCAATCCATGAACATGGTGTATGCTTCCACATGTTTGCATCTTCCTCTATTTTCTTTTCAATGTCACATAGTTTTCCAAGTACAGGTCTTTTACTGCCTTGATTATTCCTAGGTAACATATTTTGTTGTTGTTGCAGTGGTATATGGGATTGTTTTCTTAGTTTACCTTTCTGAGAGTTTATTATAGGTATATAAAAATGCCATGGATTTCTGGATATTAATTTTGTATCCTGCTACTTTGCCGAATTTATTTATTAAATCTCGTAATTTTTTGGTGGAGTCCTTAGGGTTTTCTCTGTACAATTTCATGTCATCTGTGAATAATGACAGTTTTACTTCCTCCTTTCCAATGTGGATACTTTTTATTTTTCCTTCATGTCTGATTGCTGTGGCTAGGACTTCAGTATTATGTTGAATAAGAGTGGTAAAAGTCAACATCCCTATCTTGTTCCTGATCTTAAGGGAAACACTTTTAGTTTTTGCCCATTGAGTATGATGTTGGAATTTTTTATAAATGGCCTTTATTATATTGAGGTCTGAACTCTCTTTTCCCACTTTGCTGAGAGCTTTTATCAGAAATGGGAGCTGGATTTTGTCAAATGTTTTTCTGGGTCTGTTGAAATGATCATGTGATTTTTTTCCTTCATTCTGTTTATGTGATGTATCACATTTATTGATTTGAGAATATTGTACCAGCCTTGCATCCCTGGAATAAATCCCACTTATTCATGGTGTCTGATCTTTTTAATGTGTTGCTGGATCTGATTTCTAATATTTTATTGAGGATTTTAGCATCTATATTCATCAGGAATATTGGCCTATAATTTTATTTCTTTGTAGTGTCTTTATCTGATTTTGGAATTAGGATAGTGCTGGCCTCATAGATAAGAGCTTGGAAGTCTTCCTTCCTCTCGAATTTTGAAATATTTTGGGGAGGATAGGTGTTAATTCTTTGACTGTTTGGTAAAATTCACCTGTGAAGCCATCCAGTCCAGGACTTTCGTTTGCTGGGAGTTTTTTATTACTGCTTCAGTTTCACTCATTGTTATCAGTCTATTCAGGTTTTCTGATTCTTCCCTATTCAGTTTTGGAACTTTGTATGTTTCTAGGATTTGTCATTTTTGCCCAGGTTTCCCCATTTGTTGGCATATAGTTCAAAGTATTTTGTTTTCTTAGGATCCTTTGTATTTTTGTGACCTCAGTTGTGATTTGTAAATAGTGATTTTTAAAAATAGCACAGTTTATATGCCTTTTTAGAGACTGTACTTGTGCATACATTCTCACCACTGTACCACATCCTTTGTCTCTGTGAGTTCTGAAAGAACAGGCATCTCATTTCATTTACCTTTGAATTCAAAACTCTCAAAACTATGTATAGTACATCAGTACACCTAAATAAATGCTAATGGAGCTGATATTACTGGTTGAAAAAAAAACCAATCTCTTAGAGACAGTTATTACTATTGCAGATTATATCAGCTGTACCTTAAGATTTCCGCATAGTCTTAGAGTCCAGAAGCAGCAAATAATTAGAATAGCAGGACAAACATAAAGGAAATGGCCTGAGATGGAGGGGTCAGACTGGTGGAGATCAGCATGATGGTGGAAATACTGAAGTCATAAATCTCCATTCTCACCTTGCATTAAAGTATATATGCCTGAATGGTAAGGTGATAGAATTCCAGTGGTGTTTGCACTAGAGGATAAGAGGGACTAGACGAGGGGAGAGGTGGAGGGGAAGTTTGTCCTCATAGCCCACCAGCAGAGAGAAAGAGTACAAGTGGCCTCTTTTACATTGAATGAAAAGTTGCTGCTCTAAATATGGTCTTCAGTGAACCAGTAGCTGAACCTAGTGAACTGAGCACTATAATGACTCTTAGAGCAATACTTAGAGTAAAACTCATAAGCTCAATTAAATGACCCTGGTTGGTCTTACTGGGTTGATAAATTGAACAGACATTTTTCGGAAAACCAAAAACAAGATGAGGAAATATGGAGTATTCTTGGTGCTTCATTTGATGAAAATGTCTCCATTTACCATGGAAGTCCATGAAAAGTACTCTTTACCTAAGATTAGAGGATTCTATGTAAATGAAAGAGTTTGCTATTAGATGGATTTTGAGCTTTAGGCTTTTAAAAGTATTTTAGTTCTGTAAGCAACTTGTTCATATTAAATTTGTGTTTCTGCATGTGTGTTAAAGGATTCTGGAAAACTTAGAATAATTTTGTTGGCAAAATGTAAATGGAGAGAATGGGAGAAAAGATTTTCATTGTAGGTTATACTGAAGAGACACAAAAATAGGATTCTCAAGTTTTTGTTTTTTCTCCCTTATGAACCTTCCTGGGCTTATTTGTATTGTACTAAATACTAGGGAGATGGGCAGATTTTAAAGTTATACATATTGCTGTCAATATGCCACTAAATGTGATAAATGTCACAAGGATATAAGAATCCTTCCCTCTATAGGCCTGGCTCTTTAGATTGGCCACGTATCTTGTATTTCCATTAAACTACTTTCCTGCAGGAAACTTAAAAACATTTTCAGAATAAAAATTGATTTTGTTCACATTATTTTAAGTATGTATTATAATCACTTTCACTAAGGAAAAATAAGTTGCTCAGTACTATTACTTCTCTGTCATTTGAACCTTTACAATACTTTAAGCTGAACATTTTGATACTTAAACCTGAAAGAAAAGGAAATTTAAAAAACAAACAAACCTCTGATATAATGCACCAGAGGGCGCTGTATTCTAGTTCTTCGTAAGAAAGAAGTCTAGTCTAAAGTTTGCATTTCCATTCAACAGATATGAGAGTGCTTGTGGAATGCTAGGCAGAAGGCAACGTTCTTGCTCTACCTTGGGGAAGCTCTCCATTCCGGGGAAGCTCTCCATTCCAGGTAATGAATCTAGTTTTTAAAACAATCACTTCAGCAGTCTGATTATTTAGAAGTCTGATTATTTAGAAGTCTGATTATTATTACGTATATATTTCATTGTTCAAACATTTTAGAGCTCTTTAAAAATTGCCTTTAAAGTCTGTGTGGTTTTTTTGTATGTATGTTCTCAATGGGAGCACAGCTTTTGTCCTCTGAAAACAAACGTAATTTTTAGAAACAACCTAAAGTTATTTAGCACTAAGGAGATGATAAAGGTAGATTATCAAACCAGACAGTGCTGGTTATAGTTTTCATTTAAAAATATATATATATATATCTTTATTGATTTCAGAGAGAGGGAGAGAGAGAGATAGAAACATCAATCATGAGAGAGTCCTCATTGATCAGCTGCCTCCTGCACAACCCCTACTGGGAATCCAGCCTGCAACCCAGGCACGTGCCCTGACCGGGAATCGAACTGTGATCTCCTGGATTCTAGGTTGACGCTCAACTGCTGAGCCACGCCCAGCCAGGCTATAGTTTTCATTTTTTATAACGAAAAATTAAATTTGTAATTTGCTAGCTTTGTATAAGACATTACAACACACTAGAGAATAATATCTAACTGGGTATGTGCTGTATAGACTCTAAACTCTCTGAGAGCGGTCATCAACTCTTCTTCCTTTCCAGCCATCTGCAAGTCCTGTTACATCTATAACATATAATTCACAATAATAAATATTTATGAAATCACCTCCCAACTGTAAAACTATAGCACTGATAGTTTGCCTGAGTGGTCCTTTCCTATCAAGTCCTTAGGTAACTAGTGTTCATTATTTGTGTGATTTTCTTTTTATATATTTTTATCACATACCTATGTGTTCCTAAAAATTATGTTTTTGTTTAACTGTTTTGACTATTTATAAAAAGAGTATCATGCTATATTTGATCTTTTGGATTATTTTTTACTCAGTATTATATTGCTGTGATTCACCCATTTGGTTATGTTAGCTGAGGATTAAGAGAACTATGTAATATTTCATCCTATAACCACAATTTATTTGTCCACCTCACTTGAGTTGTTGCAGGTTCTGCTTTGACAAACAGTGATGTCGTGAACATCCTTACACCTATGTCGTAGTATACAACCGCAGCCACCTCTCACCAGTAGTAAAGTTCAATTAATTACATTTTCCTCTAACATTTCTACACTAAGAATGAAGTCATTCTGCTGGAGTTTTCTACATTCCAAGAGGATTTAAGCAAAAATTCACGAAGGAAGTTTCCAGAATGATGACTTCAACTTATTTCTTACTGACTGACTAAAATTTGGGGAGCCATAATTATTTCTGGTCCTTTGCACATTTGCATGGCCTTACTTCATGTTGGTACCTGTTGCCAGTATAACCAGGAAAGAATGATACAGATACACAGTGATTCGTAGAAATAAGTAGCTCTGGTACACACACGGCTAAATGAGGCCAACCAACTGGGCTCCACGAGATACTTCAGGTCAGGACAGACCTCTTCCTCTTTCTAGTGCTCCTTGTAATGCAGTTGTACTGAAGTCTAGAATATTACATATTTCTTTAGACTGCCATGATTCATTACCTAGAAGATCTACCACTTATATAGAATGTGGGAATGTGTGGTTATAAAGAACAGCAAATTCTGGTTTATCCATGCAAACAGCTCACAATCCAACCAGTTTGATAAACCTAAGGATAATGCTGAAATTCTCCACAACCTTGACTCAAAAGAAGCCTCCAGTTTATTCAATTAATATTATTAAGTGCATATGTATATCCAACAGTGTACAAACCTCTATTCTTATACCATAGAAATAGCGTCAGCCTTTTTTTTTTTTCCAAGTAGAAATCTAGTTTTAGAATTATTAAAAATGCAGTCTGGATTACTTGAATTTATATGTTTGTTTATTCTATGTATTTAGGACTAAGAAATATATATGTGTGTGTATATATATGTATATGTGTGTGTGTGTGTGTATATATATATATATTTAAAAGCCAGCACCCCAGATATCATAGTTTACAGAAATATCAGAGATCTCTGTGAAATTCGTTGACATGTAAAAACATGAAAGTAGCAGTGGGTTAAAGTCAAAATACTCTTTTCTTCTTTGCATGTATCATGTTTCCATTTGAACACAAATTTCTTGAAAAGCAGGATATGCATTTAGGTTTTATGATGATGGCTTTCTACCTAGAAGATCTAGTCATTTGTCTTCCATTTATAGGTACATGGTGGGATCACTCAAGTCACAGTTTTCAATGTGTACATGGGATTGTACACCTGGGTAAACTTTCTGCAAGGGCAATAGAGTTCCCAGTTTTTCTCCCTTCTTGATAGCACCTTTATGTTTAACTGGTTTAATGTAGAACATTTTAATACAGAAACCTGAAAGGAAAGAAATAAAATTACTCAGTTGATTGAACTCAGCTCAGTGAGGAGTGGGAGAAAATGACCAAATCGCATCAGGAATAAGGACAGAAGCTGCAAGATGCCCAGAGAAGAACGGATTTAAATGACGACAAAAGCATCAAACAATAGCAGGAAAACAGTAGGTAGCTGAGAAAATTGACCCAGAGCAGTGTCAGCTCTAAAACATATTCTAATTAAACTATTAGACTTTAAAGACAAGGAAAAATGGAAATAACTGGCACAAGAATACAAATCTTTCTAAATACCAAAAGAAAAAAATTTAAATTGAGTTAGTATAATGCTATAATTATAACATAGTATGATAATGTTGGGACCAAATATATATCTGTAACTATTAACTCATCTATTAAATAGGTTCTCCTATTCACTTGGAAAGGAAAACGCTGTCCTATGCTGTATAGAAAAAGCCCCACAATAATTGTAAGAGGCTAAAAATTAAGGGCTGGACAAATATTTGCCAAGAAAGTAAAGCAAAAAGGAAAGCAAGGGTTATGATCCTGTTACCAGAGAGTGGAATTCAGGTCAAAAAGCATTGAAGCAAAACAGGAGGACAATTTATAATGCTAAATCCAGTGAAGATGCAACAGTGACAACTGTCCATGTGCTAAATAACACAGAAACCATCTATATAAAGCAGAGACTTCAGGAGATACAAGGTGAAATGGGTGGAAACCCACTAGTAATAGAAGACTTCAACACATTTATTTACATCATTGAAAACAGGTCAAGTGGACAGAAAACATAAGTAAAACTATAGAATCACGCCACCCAACAGGTAGCCACTAGCCACATGTGGCTAGTTAGTACTTGAAACACAGCTAATCTGAATTAGATGTGGTCTGAGTACAAAGTACACATGGATTTTGAAGACAGTACCCAATAAAGGTAAAATATTAATTTTTATGTTAATTGCATTTTGAAATAAAAACATTCTGGAGATACTGGGTTAAATAAATATATTATTAAAATGAATTTCACCTTTTCAGTTTATGTGACTCCTAGAAAATTTTTAATTACTTAACGTGGCTTTTATTATATTCCTATTGGATAGTACTGCCATAGAAGATCTAAACAAAATCATATATAAACAGAATGTGTGCAAGACCTCTACACTGAAAAGCCATACATCAGCTACTAATACAGCAACACAAGAAGACCTAAATACATGGAGGGTGTAACATGTTCATCGATTGGAGGACTCATTACTTTTAAGTTAGCAGTTCTTCTCGATATGATTTATATAATCAGTGAAAATCCAGTCAAAGTCCCAGCAGACTTTTGGTGGAAATTGACAAACTGATTTTAAAATTTGGAAATGCAAATAACCAAGAACTGCCAAGGCAATCTGAAAGAACAAAGTTGGAAGATTTATACTGTCAGATATCAAGGTGTATTTTAAAGCTATAGTAGTTAAGTCATTGTGGTATTTGTGGAAGATTGAAAAATGACTGATGAAACACAATCTACTAGAAACTGACCCACATATATTCAGACTCTGAATTATGACAAAAGATACTGAAGTGTAGTAGGGGGGAAAATGGTCTTGTGAAGCTAATGGTACTGAGTCAATTAGATACCAATATGGGGGGAAATCTTTACCTCTATCGCATTCCTTACACAATCCAGATGGATTATAATTCTAAATATGAAAGATGAAGCAATGAAGCTTGTAGATGAAACATAGGGAGAATATCTTTTTGACTTCAGGGTAGGAAAATGTGTCTTAAACAGGTAAAAAAATGTGTTAATGAAGGAAAATATTACTAAATTGGGCTGCATTTAAAACAAGAATTTTTTCTATATTGAAGGAAACATTAAGAAAGGGAAAAACAACCCATAAAATGGGAGAGGATCCTTACAATACATAGATCTGACAAAGGACTCGTATCCAGAATATACAAAAAACTCTTACATACCAATAAGAAAAAGACAGGGCAAAATACTTGAATGGGCACTTCACAAAAGGCAATATCCGTGTTATCAATAAATATGGGAAATGCAAATTAAAAGCTAAAAGAGATATCACTACATACTCATCAAAATGGCTGAAATGAGAAAGTAAAAGACTCGGCCTCCCTTTTACTCAAGGGGCTCTGGGACTGTGAGCTGGCTCAAGTCTGGGAATTGGAGTGGGGTGGTTTTTGATCCATTTTTGTGATGACTGAAGTCAGAATTCTGTTCGTCAGTCCTAGAGTGTGTTCATTTATACAAATCTAATGAGGCTTTAGTAGGCTGCTGTCTATTTCATTCTAGGGTCACCATGGTTAACTAGACAATGCCACAGATGTCTGTGCTTCAGGCCAATCTGATTACTTCTTCAGCTCTGCTGCCTGTTAGGTAACCATGCCAACCTTGGCCTTGCCTTCTAAGTGGACGCCATTCATTGGCAGTAGTTTCTGTTGTCATTCAGGCCTAAGCTACTGTGTGGCTGCTCAAGGACATGGGTTCCCTCATGAAATGCTTCTTACTTGGGGAAGGGAATGTCCTCTGGACTCACTCCCAACAGAAATGCATGTTTATGTTCAATTAACAACATATGCAAGAAAGTTCATAGCAGCATTTTCATAATCACGTAAAGGTGGATACTACCCAACCGTCCATCTAGAGAAGAATGATTAACTAGATTAAGATACATGCATATAACAGAATACTATGTGAAGCAATAAGAATGAACTAAAATGATGTGCAAAAATATGGATGGACCTCACAAACATGATGTGGAGCGAAAGAAGCCCATGAAAGAGACTGCGTGCTGTGTAATTCTATTGTATTATCTTCAGAAACAGGCAGAATGAATAGGTGGTGGGGAAGGGATTCCCTTGCTGGGGATAATAACTAGAAGGTAGCACAGAGGGTCTCTAGGATCTGCGGATGCTCTTTTTCTTGATCTGGGTGCTGGTTACGTAGGCATATTCACTGTAAAAATTCACGGAGCTGTACATTTACGCTTTGTGCACTTTTCTGTATGTATGTTACACCTCAAACAATTAAAACAACCAAACAACAAGCCCAATACCTAGAATACCAGGGACTTAGCTTTATCTAGAATATAGAGGCCTTTGTAAATATTTCAGTCAGCTCTTGCAGAACATTTTTCCAGTGGTGGAATTTGGGTAAAGTATCTATTCATGATAGTTAATATTGCTGCTGAAAGTGGTTTTGTTTATAGATTGTTAAGCAAAACCACATGGGCCACAGGAAGAAAGCCCTCTGACAGCTGGAGGGGTAGGTGGAGTGTGCATAAGGAAGAGGATTCCAGGAAACCAGTAGAAATGCATTAGCTATTTTAGTGTGGTACACTATGTCCTTATGTTATACATTTTATCACCCTGAAGGAAGTATGAAACCTTGATTATGGAATATGCATTCAGTGCATCAAACATCTCCATATGTGTCCCAGGCATATACACCACCTCTTACCTCTTCCAGTTATCCGAACACCGTTATTGATGGCATTTTTGTTTTTATAAGGTTTCTCCTGGCCCATAATCATTCCAGTGAAAGGTGCATACACAGTAGATCCATCAGAGCACAAGACATCCACACCCTGGTGAGGCCTATGACTTCTAGGATGTAGATAAGAAGGAACAGACTTAGGAACTGCCCTGGGAGCCTTATTGCCCGGGAATGTGGTGGTAGCCCTCGGTTCCCGGACCAAGGTATCAAAAATTGAAGTACTGGAACATATTGGGATATCCCAGGTTTCCTCACTGTTTTGCCCAGTCTTAACCACCTTCCCTGAAGGTAGTAATAACCATGTTGTAAAGATTAAAACATTTTAGATAATATTTGGCACTTGGGAAGCCTTTAAAAAATGTTAGGTATTATTATTATATGGCATTTGAGGGAAATGAGGCAATCCATACAAGTAAGTTTTATAGACCACTTAGGAAAGGGTTGTCTTTATGGGAACCTATCATAAAAGAATCTTCTGTTACCCTAGTCTTATTTTTCCCTCAATGATCCAGAAGTTATTACAAACATCATTTACTGTATATGCTATTTTAATATAGTGAGTAATACTGCCTGAGTTTATTAAAGTATATGTAGCACAAACACAGAATGTTCCCAGATTGTGAGATTTCTTGAGGTTGTCTCTAACAGTCCTCACTGTTGTCACTATGCTGGTTCTTACTGCTACTTCTCTTTCCTAATAGGCTACTACCTGAAAAATGAGATTCACCAGGATTGTTAGATGATGTAAAGCAACACTGAGCAGGCTTCAAGTGAAGAGCCAGTAAGTTATTATATAAACTTTAGGGTGTGAACTAATTGAGTCTTAATTTTGGCAATTCAGAGGCCATTTTTCCATATTTCCCATCTCTTAGGCATATCTCCAGGTGTTTGAGGTTACTTTGTAAGTAGTATCTGTGCAGATACTATAATTAGGGTGGAGATCAATGATGCAATTGGTCACGCAGCTATTTCATCAGAGACTGGTACTCCCAAGGTGATACTGTACATGGCTGAAATTTCGCAGGTGTGTCCCTCATTGTCTGGAATAAATTGCCTGCTTAGGGCCAGCCCCTGGTGGTCAGTTCCCAGAGCCTGGGTCAGTAACAGCGTGGTTGGATGGAAAGAGGATCCTAAAGCCTGAATCCTAGTCTAGCCTTCACCATCCCCAGCTGTGTTTGGCAGGTCCTTTAGCCCTTTGGTACCTAAATTCAAATTCCTCATCTACAGAATGGCATAGTAATGTTTGATTTTCACCTTGGAAAAACCAGGTGAAATAAGTCAGTGTGTGAAAACATTGAGAGGGGAAACACTGCTTGCTCCCCCTTTTCTTAGTCCATGCTCTGTTCCCAATTCAGAGCCCATACTTGAAGCAGAGTTCTTGGAAGTTGCTCCAAAGACAGTAGTATAACTGGTTTCATCTAGTTTTCCTGCTGTCAGAGGGAGATGATCATGAGCACTTGAGGAAACGTAGGGCAAGGACACTAAGCAAAGAGGTCAAGAGCCCAAAGAGTTTATGGTTATTTGTGAAACCCCATACATACCTGTGAGCCGTGTACTGGCCACAGCCATGGCTGTCACATGTCCTGATCTCATTGGAGGACTTGCCAGCACATATGTTAGCCCATGGTCCAGCCAGAGCTATAAAGGAGAAATATGAGAAGCAGATTTCCTGGTCTCACTTATTTCCAATCTCCACTTGCCTTAGAAGTCTTTCAGTGGATTCTGAAAATCTTGTTTTCGCTATAGTTTGTCCCTAACTTTCTGTAGTTTATGGTAAGGTATTCCTTTAACTCCTGATTCAGATGTAAAATTGGCTTTTTCCCTGGCTGTGACAGTCCATTGTATGACATACAGAGTATTTGTAAGTGTGTCTGTTTATTAGCATTAACCTCCATCATTATAGTTTCAGATTATCCACTAATAAATGGCATAAATTGTGCTTTTCAAATTTTCTTTGTTCGTTGCTTGGCATGGAGTGAAGGAAAGTAATCAAATAGCATGGCTCAAAGAAGTTAAGTCCAGAAACTCTTAAGGAACTTTGGAGTGTTCCCGTATTGTTAGTCTCAGTAATCAAATTCAAGAAAATATTTGCATTAAAGGAGAAACAGACTCTGAACTAGCAAAGTTTATTTAACACTAAATAAATCTCTTTCGTGTACGCAAACAGGGAAGAGGGAGATTCTTAGAAATACGAACGTGTTGAACTGGTTTAGAATAGAGAGGAGTGAGAAGAGAAGGTGGGCAAGAGGGTAGAAACAATTACATAAAAAATTATAAAGCAGTGAAACGTGGAAGAGGGGTCCAGCTCTCTGTGTATTTTGTGCAACTTTGTTTTAGGTGCAACTTCTCTTTAACACAGTAAGCACTTGATAAATGTTGAATTGAATTCATTTTCCAAGATTTCCAATGTTAACATTTACAGCAAAATGCAGTCAGCAAACCCATTCTTTCACTTCAAAACAAACTAACAAAAACAGAAGCAAAAACAAGAACCTGTTAATGTGACCACTGATTTTACTTAACAGTATTTTATTACTTATCAATATATGCGCTATGAAGAGAAGGTACAGAATATGACCATTAAGCATATTATTTAATATTCTTTCAAAAGTCTTATACCTTGGAGCCAAGCTTTAAGTCCTTGGGAACTGAGGTATATACTAGACAGTTTGTTAATTTAGTCATTTTTCTCTTAGCCTGTGAGTATAAAGGGAGTGTTCCCCTTGTCCTAATCCCCACCGGTCTCTGCATCAGGAATTTCCTAAATCATTCTCTTACACAAACTGTGTACTTTCTACTTATGTTCCAGTTAAGTTCTAGACCATAACTGAGAGACATTTCTTAAAGTCCTCCCATTCCATTTTTATGTTTCCTCGTTAAACAGCCGGAACATTTGGGTGGATATCATTGAGAACACCCCGACACCCATTCTTCCTATTCTATTTTTAATAACCAGATACACAAATTTCTATTGTGACTGTGCTATTATTGAATTTTAAATTTATCCTTGAAATAAGTTTTTTAAAAATTAGCCAAGATTCTAAAATTGTATCTTTGACTTACCAGTTGAAATCAAAACAGTCAAAAAGAGGACTCCTGAGGAAAACATTTGGTTTTTATTTCCCTGTGATGTTTCTTCCTCTGATGATTATAATTGCTCCACACTCTCCTTGAAGAATATTCACATCTGAATAAATATTTGCTAGCTATTTCTCATTAGAATGCTGCATCTTTCATTTCCTTAATATGAGACAAAAAAATATGGGAATGGAACAAGTAAAATTCTAATATCCCACGGGTAGCTATTTGGTTCACAGGTAGGACCTGTATAAAGCTTTTGCGCTGCAGGAGCAGCTACTTTTATTGGGAATGCCGACTAAATATTAACAGAGTGATAAGAGTAAGTGAAGAGTGACTGTTCTCGGCTGCGGCTTCATGAATAAATGCAGATATAGTAAAAATACAAAAATATGCACAGACTAACTTTAGGATAATAGTTACCTCAGAGCAGGGAGGGAAACAGAATTATGGAAGGGTATACATGCGTAAACTCTAAAATATTCTATAAAAAGCCAAAAAGATCAGAATCAGATTTTAAAAATATTAATTTGTTAATTATTGGAGAATACATGGGTATTTGTTATATTGCTCTCTGTACTTTTCTGTATATTTCAAACATGTATTAGCATCTCCTTTTTATGCTTAATAGCAGATGAGGCCCTGGAATTTTCTGTGGAAATATCGCCATTTAAGTAATTTGTCAGTATCTATGGGAGACTGAGATTGTGGCCCTAGGTCTCTACCCCTCCCTGCATTCACACCCTCGCCACGTCTCTTAGGGGCAGAGGGACTTTCTCAACCTTTGGTTTGTGGTTCGGTTCTATGATGCACTTTAACTAGTAAAGCGAGGCAGACATGACAGTGTATCAGTAGAGCCTGACCCCTGAGGGCCCTTATGTCTTTCCATTTCCCTTCTTGCGTTCTGCCATCTTTTTGAGGAGAACATTCTCAGACTAACCTGCTGGCCCAGGAGATAATGACAGTCACATGGAGCGGATTCACCCTAGCCAAGCCTCCCAGCCAAGCCAGCCTAGCACATCCCTTAATTTACATTAGAAAATCCCCAGCTCTCAGGATTAGTGACCACAATAAACTCCACGGTGTTTACGGAAATACTAAGGGAATTAACGCAAATATAAGCTATCTAGCGGAACATCTGTCCTGAACAAGGCTGCCCTATGTCCATTTTGGAGCAGTACCCCAGGGCCAGGTGGCACTGTCTTTGTTCTTTGTGTATAATCGTGATTGTAAGGAATGTTCAGATGACTACTGCATGTTAGAGACCTTTTCATTAGAAACACTGATCTGTTAATAGGCATATTTGAATGAGACCTTTATCTTCTCTGAGCTACATTTCTTCATAAAAGAATAAGTGTGGAAGTACAATGACTTATTGGGCTACAGGGACTTGATTACTAAAGAACATTTAACTCTTCCAAGATATACTCAACTATCAGTATTATAAGTTGACCTCATTTCCCCCCCCCATGCCTCGTGCCTTGACCATTCTTATTTTTCAAGATAGAGACAGCGGGAGGAGGCAGAGAAATTCAACTTGACTGTAATTCAAGTTTGATGGTGATAAAAACTATTCTACCTATATGGAGACTAACTGAAAGTTACTTGCCTCTTTCAGCATACCATTCTCATCTCTCTTTAGAAAAGCTTGAGTTAAATTATTGTAATGGAGCTCATCCAGTAGGCTCAATTGTTTCCTCCTATCTTATCTCTGGTTCTCTGTAACTCTGTCATTACCCACAAGGTAGGTAATGAGTTTGTGCTGAAATATCAAAGTGAGAAGATTGGTCATATTTCAGGAGTTTATGAACAAATTGATCTTTATATGTTAATATTTTGTGTTTGTCTTAGTCCATTCAGGCTGCTGTAGTAAAATACCATTGACTGGGTGTCTTATAAAGTAAAGAAATTTATTTCTTATAGTTCTGGAAGCTGGAAGGCTAAGAGCAGGCTGTCGACATGGTCAGGTTCTGGTGAGGGCCCTCAGCCAGGTTGCAAACTGCCCATTTCTCCCTATGTCCACACGTGGAGGAAGGAGGCAATGGAGCTCTGTGCTTCTTTTTTATAAGGGCACTAATCCCATTCAGGAGGGCTCCACCCTCATTTCCTAAGTACCTTCCAAGGGCTCCACCTCCTAACACCATCACATGGGCATTGGGATTTCAACATAAGATTTTGTTGGGGGGACACAAACATTCAGACCATAACAGTGATGGT